CAGCTGAAGACTATCTGCTGACCACACTCACAGCACCTGGGACAAGCCCTTCTTTGAAAGGAGGATATAAGTGCTGCATCTCCATGACCACCACATTGTTGTATGTTCACATAATGGAATACTATACAGCAGTGAAAATTAATGACCTACTGCAGTCAACATGGATAAATCTCACAATACGGAGAAGAAAAAAGCAAAAAATACATATAGTATGCTTTCATTTACTTAAAATTCACAAACAAACAAAATGAAATGATATTTTGCTTAGGGAGAAATATAAATAGGTTAAAACTATAAATAAGATCAAAAGAATGTTAAAATATAAAAGTTTAAATGGTTGTTACCTCTGGGAGATGAGGGATAGAGAGGAATAGGATCAGATAGGGAGAAACAAGAGCCTTCAAAAGTCTTAGATGACACAAACAAATGGAAAGATACACCATGCTCATGGATTAGAAGAATTAATATTGTTAAAATGTCCATACTACTCAAAGCAGTCTACAGATTCTATGCAATCCCCATCAAAATACCAATGGCATTTTTCGCAGAACAGAAGAAACAATCTTAAAATTTGTTTGGAACCAGTGAAGACCCCAAATAGCCAAAGCAATCTTGAGAAAGAAGAACAAAGCTGGAGGCATCATGCTCCTTAACTTCAAACTATACTACAAAGCTACAGTAATCAAAACTGTATGGTACTTGCATGAAAACAGACACATAAATCAATGGAACAGAATAGAGAGTACAGCAATAAACCCATGCACACATGGTCAATTAATCTATGACAAAGGAGGCAAGAATATACAATGGGGAAAAGACAGTCTCTTCAATAAATGGTGCTGGGAAAACTGGACAGCTACATGCAAAAGAATGAAACCCGACCATTTTCTTACACCATGTCCAAAAACCAATTCAAAATGGATTAAAGACTTGAATGTAAGACCTGAAACCATAAAACTCCTAGAAGAAAACATAGGCAGTCAGCTCTTTGCCATTAGTCTTAGCAATATTTTTTTGCACCAGTCTCCTCAGGCAAGGGCAACAAAAGCAAAAATAAACAAATACAAATAAATAAAAAAAAGGATTACATCAAACTAAAAAGTTTTTGCACAGGGAGGGAAACCATCAACAAAACAAAGAGGCAACCTACTGAATGGGAGAAGATATTTGCAAATCACATATCCAATAAGGGGTTAATATCCAAAATATATAAAGAACTTACACAACTTAACATCAAAAAAACAACCCAATTAAAAAATGGACAGAAGACTTGAATAGACATTTTTCCAAAGAAGACATACAAATGGCCAACAGGTATATGAAAAGATGCTCAACATCACTAATCATCAGGGAAATACAAATCAAAACCACAGAGAGATATCACCTCACACCTGTCAGAATGGCTATTATCAGAAGGACAAAAAATAAGAAGCATTGGTGAGGATGTAGAGAAAAGGGAACTCTCGTACACTGTCAGTGGAAATGTAAACCAGTGCCGCCATTACGGAAAACAGGAGGGAGGTTCCTCAAAAAATTAAAAATAGAGCTACCATATGATCCAGCAATTCCACTTCTGGGTATTTATCCAAAGAAAACAAAAAAACACTAATTTGAAGAGATATATGCACCCTTCTGTTCACTGTAGCATTATTCATAATAGCCAAGATATGGAAGCAACCTAAGTGTCCATCAATAGATAAATGGATAAAGAAGCTGTGATATATATATATATTGGAATATTACTTACCCATACAAAAAGAATGAAATCTTGGGGCCAGCCCCGTGGCATAGTGGTTAAGTTCATCACACACAACTTCAGAGGCCCAGGTTCACGGGTTCCAATCCTGGGCACTGACCTACACCACTCGTCAGCCATACTGTGGCAGTGACCCACATACAAAATAGAGGAAGATTGGCACAGATGTTAGCTCAGTGCTAATCTTCCTCAAGCAAAAACAAGAGGAAGACTGACAACAGATGTTAGCTTAGGGCAAATCTTCCTCACACAGACACACACACACACACACACACACACACACACACACAAAAGAATGAAATCTTACCATTTGCAACAACATGGATGGACCTAGAGGGTATTATGCTAAGTGAAATAAGCCAGACAGAGAAAGACAAATAACGTATGATTTCACTTACGTGGAATCTAAAAATCAAAACAAACGAAAAAACAAAATAAAACAGAAACAGACTCAGAGATACAGGAAACAAAGTGGGGGTTACCACAGTGAGGAGGTGTTGGGTGTGGGCAAAATAGGTGAAGGGGATTAAGAGGTACAAACTTCTAGTTAAAAATTAATGAGTCATGGGGATGTAATGTACAGCATAGGGAATATAGTCAATAATATTACAATAACTTTTTATGGTGACAGATGGTAACTAGACTTATTGTGGTGATCATTTCATAATATATATGTATATAAATATCTAATCACTATGATGTACACCTGAAACTAATAGGATATTATATGTCAATTATACTTCAGTAAAAAAAGAGTCTTCAAAAGTCTTGATATTGTTCTATTTTTAAGGTGGATACACGGTTTTGTCTTATTATTTATAGCTTACATGTGTTCAAATATTCTTTTGTATAATTGTTTCAATTTTTAAAAGAACAAATATTTTCTCCATTTATTTCAGAAGAGACCGTTTTCCCAAAGTTCAATGCAGAACCAGAAGCAGACGCTGATGAAGTAAGCAAATCTCGTCTCCTTACTCTTTGACCTCTGGTTGACTAAAATACTATCATACAGGCACTGAATTTCCATGTCTGACTTAGCCGAGCTCCCTAGCGATTTTGCCAGGAATGTGTCATACTTCAAGAGTATCACTTCGCACTAAAAAATCTTCAATTGTATTTGTTGATGTAAAAATCTTAAGACTTCAAATTTAGATAGCAAGTGAGCAGAGAGGAGACATTTAAATGGTATAATTGTTCATTTTATATTTGAAAAGCTGAGACTCTGAAAGGAAAATAATTTGCGCAAATGTATGGAGTAATAGCTCTGCTAGAAATAAAACAGAATCCCAGATCCGCCTGCCACTGCTACAAATTATAGCAGATGAGGAATTAACTTGTGTTTTTTTGAGCTACTACCCACTGGTGATTGTCAGAAGTAACAATTTCTTTTAGGATAACAGGGCTAATATCTTGCCAAGGTGCTCTACAAGAGCAAAATACCACCAATATCAGAAAAAGCTGGTATTTCTACTAAGTTCACTTTCTGAGGACCTGAGGGTACGTGCTGTTTAGTGCAACGTCAATACACAAGTTTATATGTCTTCACAGCTGAGTGAAAGACACAAGGAAGTCAAAATCTAACTGGCTCGCACACAGCTTTTCAATCACACCACATATTACGGAAACATATGACTGTGGCATGTCACACTTTGCCTAACTTCTCATTTGCAGACACCTGCCATTTAGCTCAGAAAAAGGATCACTTTATGGTGGAAAGCAGACTCTGAGCTGCTTATTGTATTTTAAAAACTTAAACTTTCAAAAACTCTTTAGACATTCAGGAGACTTTAAAATTCTCTCACAAAAGTAGAGCTTTACTAATAATGATTCTAGTCATTAGTCAAACTCACTACTCAAACACTAGTCAAACTCAAGCCTGGAGCTACGCGAACATGACTCCTTATTTGGAACTAACAACCAACGTGCCAGGACAACCCTACAAATAATTCTAAAACCATAGGATAGTGCAAAAATATAAGGTAGGGACAGAAAACTTTCACCAGAGATAACAGGAAAGGAGTTGTAGACATAGGTAATGTCATAGCCCTTCCAAAAAATGCCCTAAAACCAGAGAAAAAATAGGAAGCACACTGAGGTGGACAGCTCCTGTGTACAAGGTGGGATCCAGAGATAGCATTGCTTTGAGGCTGAATCTAAGCCCTAAAGTTGCACCATTATTTACAGCAAACTTCTCTTCTTAAAAAGAAGAAGAAGAAAAAAGAAAGAAACTAGGAAATCACAGAGTTCCCCTTCTATAAAGTTTTGATTGATCAATGCTGGGAAGGCTCAAAAGTCACTTTACACTCCCTCATCAAAATCAAAACAAACGATTTTTATGACCGATGAAAAGCAAAGCCTCAACTGCTGGGAATGTATTCCAATTCACCCTGAGGAAGCTGACAGGAAACCTGAGCATCGTTCTGTCTCACGGCCCTCCTGCTGGCCCGCATAGGTCGTAGGATCGGGGTGGTGGGGACGGGCTTGGTGCTTCTTCGGAAAACAGCAGGCTCTCGGTTCACTGCTCATAGCCTGAAAGCAGACCCCTGCCCTCTCGCACTTCACATCCGAAGCGGCATGGCCCCTAAATCACGGGCCCTGTTCACACAGAGACACGTCTCACCAATGTGTGGACAAACTGTGCAACTGTGAAGTGTTTATACCGTGGTTGTTTTGGTGGCCATGATTCATCTTTTCTTCTCACAACGCGAGAACTTCCAGGAGCCCCTAGTCTTGGCAGAGCCCCTACCAGGGTGATGAACCTCCCCAGGCAGGTGAGATGCCATGAAGGGTAGAGAACCACCCCCTCTCACTGCCCGCAGCCGTGGATTAGAGGAGCGCAGTCTTGGCAGCCGCTCCTCCACGCCCTCCCCTGATGCTGCTGCTGAGGGTACCACTAGTGTCCCGGCCTTTCTCCTAAGGGTGAATTGCCGTGGGCAACAAGTAAACCAGAAGCTGGAGGACTCTCTAGAATGAGCAGTGCAGCCCGGCCGAGACCTTGCCCAGCGGCCGGCCGAGACCTTGCCCAGCGGCCGAGGGTGAGGGTGGCAAAGACCGGATTCCAAAGAAGGAAGCTCACCCCTCCGGCACCAACCTTCACAGATTGGCAGGGGCCACAGGCTGCCCCCTGTCCGGTCGGTACCCACCCCCCCCGGCCCAGCCTGGGAACCCCTTAGCTATGAATGACTCAGGCTCCCTCGCCTTGCCGACCCCCACCCGCCCGCGCACCGACGCGCGCCTCGGGCACCTGCGCCGCCACCTCGGGCCCCCGCGGCCGCCGTCCGCTGCGCCCGCAGCCACGGGAGCACGTCCTTCCGGAGATCGAAGTCGGCCACCAGACGCAGAGCCATCGCCCGGACGCGGCCACCGGGCGGCTGTGGGGCCCCGCGCCGCGGGCATTCCCGGCCCTCCGTGCGCCTCCTCGCCGCCCCCCTGCGCCCGCCCTCTTTCCTCTCCCCGCCTCCCCGCCGGCCGCTTTCGGTTCTGCGCGTCCCGGCCGGAGAGGCCCGGAGCACCGCCTCCTCTCGGCCCGCTGGGCACGCTGGCCTGGAGAGAAGGGGGACCTGGGCCCGGCGACCAGACCCACCCTGGCCCCGAACCATCAACAGGCACCCTTCGGGCGGGGGGCAGAGGAGTGGGAGGATGTGTATTTTTAAGGGCCGTGGAGGAGATGTGGCTAGACCAACGGTTTCCAAACTGTGCTGCACGTTAGCTGTGGGCGCTAGGCATGTTTTTCTTCTTTTTTAAATCCCCAGGTGATCCACTGTGCAGCAAAATTTGGAAACCTTGGCTAGAGAAAAGTATTACTAGCTGGGTCACCTGAGAAGGTTCAAGTTCATTGCAGGGGCAGAAGTGGGTGGCGTCTTGGGCCTATTCCACTGAGCTTCAGGGTGATGGTGTTTTATTGGTAGTGTTTAGGTAGTAAGTAGCAGCGGAAAGCGTGTGAAGATGATTCTGTTTTGAGAGGGCTACTGGAGATAACGCGAAAGGGTTAATCAGCTTAGCGCAAACAGGTCCTCTGCCTATTTACGGGTTCCCTACACTGGCTTGAACTGAAGCTGAATTGTTGAGGATTCGTTCTGTGATTAGTCTTTAAAAAGTGCTCTCATTCTTCCATGGGCACCTGCCATCTTGGGCACCTTCTCATCCCCATCCCTACAAGTAAGTCCAGTGTTTTCGTAATCTCGACACACAGCTTGCTTTTCATTCCCGCCGGGGCACCATCAGTAAGCTTACTGGTTGCTGTGCCTTTGGCACTGCCAGATCCAACCCATCCTGAACATCAACGCCAGGTTACTACTCTCCCTAAAATAAAGTTGTCCTCATGTCCCTATGCAGAAGACCTTGACTAAGAGCTGACCACCCCCAGATAAAGTGCTTACACTTTACCAAATCCTTCCAGCCTTTTCACCTAGAACTTCAGCTCTAGGCTGAGCTGACTTCCTCTGATTCTACCCTCCTTCCTCGGAAAAAAAATCCAGACCCTTCCAACCTGGATCCACAAAATGTTCTCAGAACTGCAGCCTACAGCAACCTTCCCAACCCTAAACTCCTGGAGAAGTATTACTGTACTCCTCATTTGACAATTGTATACTGTCTTGAGACATGATTATTGAATCTGGAGTCTTGGCACACTCCTCTCTTACTAGGGGCTAACAGAGCACCTGGAAGGTATTCAACAGTTATTGAGGAATGAGTAAATACAATAATAGACTAAAGAATGCTTTGTCACGTGTTTCTCAAAATTAGGGTCTGAAAACCGCATTGCGGTCATCTGTTTTACAATGCAGACTCCTGGGCCCTAGACCTGGGCCCAGAAATGTGCATTTTAGCCAGAGCCGTGGGTGATTCTTAGGCTTGCTAAGGTTTGAAAACTACTCTAAATAAAGGTAAAAGAAACTCTTCATTTTGCCCTAGAGACATGTTTCTCCAGTTGAGGTAGTGGAAGATTTCAGGTAGAACTCCACTACTCACCACCATATATATACTAGGAAAATCCTCCCACCTGTAAAGTGTCTGAAGATTTAACAGAAATGCTTAATAAGGCTGCTAATATTGCTAGTGCATAAAAGGGAGGCCGCTGAAGTCACGGAGAGCTACCACAACAGATGTTTCATACCAAATGAAGTTTGTTGCCTCTGTCATACAGAAATGTCTTCACTTGCCTTTTTATTTTTTTATGAGGAAGATCAGCCCTGAGCTAACATCCATGCCAATCCTCCTCTTTTTGCTGAGGAAGACCAGCCCTGAGCTAACATCTATTGCCAATCCTCCTCCTTTTTTTCCCTTTTTCTCCCCAAAGCCCCAGTAGATAGTTGTATGTCATAGTTGCACATCCTTCTAGTTGCTGTATGTGGGACACCGCCTCAGCACTTGTCTGGGTGGCCAGACAAGTGGTGCGTCGGTACACGCCCAGGATCCAAACCCGGGCCGTCAGTAGCGGAGCGTGCGCACTTAACCGCTAAGCCACGGGGCCGGCCCCCCACTTGCCTATTTTAAAAATTCAGTAAGTTTCTGGGGCTTTCTTTCACAGTTAACCTCTATTTTTGCCAAGCAAGACTGATTTTATAGTCCTCATCAAGCAGTGATTATATAAAAATTCTCTTCAAAATAAATTTAAGTAAAAAATAACACAGAGAAGGTGAGAAATAATAACCAAGATAGCAGAAAGATGCAGCCAAAACCACGAAGGTGGTATATGAATGACTGAGCTTGGAGATCATTCACTAAGGAAAAGGCCTGGTTAATGGTGACTTACTGGCTTAAAATTTGTGAAGGGTTAATAGAAGAATGCTGATGATTTATCCTTCAACTCTAGAAAAGACAGAACTAGTGACTGTCATATCTTCTTTATTTAAAAAGCTGCTTTGTTGATGTATGTGTTACCTTGATTTTGGTAATCACTTCACAATGTGTATGTATATCAAATCATCACGTTGTACACTTTACAGATACACTATATTATTTGTCAATTATTCCTCAATAAAGCTGGAAAAAAGAAAAGCTGCCTCATAGAATCATTAAGCACTGGAACTTACGGATAGAGTAGAAATATTTCTGCTTCTTGGAGATTTTAAGAATAAACCATCATCGTCCTTAAAATCAGGGCATAACGTAGAGTTGGAGACTTAAAGGTCTTATAATCAAGGGCTTTATTTTATAGATAAGGACACTGAGGCTCAAAAAAGTGAAATGAGAGTCCGGCCTAAGGTAGCAAAGCTAGTTAACCACAAAGTTGGGCTCAGAACACAAGCCTCCCGCTATTGGTGTTTGTGTTGATTATGTCCAGTGAACTGAATTAGAGGACTCTTCAATTACCTTTCAGCCTGGGGATTTCTAGTTATCCACATACCACACCCTGACAGGTAGAATTCGGGGACCACAGTGAGAAATCACAGAGCTGGGATCATATGGTTTCTGCAAAATAGCCTAGGTTCTTTGTAATTTCATCATGAGTTTTAGAGTTGAAGGAAACTAAAGGAATTGGAAATGGGGGTTGAGTGAATCATTTGTAAATGAAAATAGTTTACTTAACAGGGATGTTAAAATGAAAATTTTTACTTCACTGTCCTAACCAAGACAGAGCTCCTGGAAGTGGGAAACTCTACAACCTGATTTTGAAGGAGATAGAAAATGTCCTGCTTAACACATCGAATCCAATAGTCTAAACTGCAAGGTATCTAAGGAAAGGACTAAAGATACTAGGTTTGAAATTTGCATTCAGTGGGACAATAAATATGCTAAAAGAACACTTTTATTAATAAACTCGTGTGTTGAAATTAAGTAGAAGTGAATCAACTAAAAACCAAAGCTTGCAATTTGGAGGCTAATCCTTTGAAAGCACAGCCGAGAATATTTCATGAAAATTAAGAGAGGTTACCAGAAAACTCATTAGACTCTAAGTGATACATAAGTAAGTTTCCTCTGCACTTTCCAGGAAATAATCACTTATTTTAAGTTTTGTTACTAAGATGCTAAAACACTGACAATGAGGTGGCTTCTTATGTAGATATTGAGAATGCCGCTTCCTTATAGTAATTTACTTTTAGTAGAGATATTTAATATGTTTTTTAAGTAAATATTTAATATGGTGATCATTACGACTCCCCGAAATCCATTTGCCCCAGACAGGTAGTAGCATTTCCTTCCCAGTGACTGATCTGGGAATAGGAATGTGCATCAGCCAGGATTAGGTTCATCAGAAGTTAATGAAAACCCAGATTAACAATTAATTAAACACACAGGTTTTCTTTTCTCACCTATCTGGAGGTGGGCAGGCCAATGCTTGGGCAGAGCCCAGAGAACTCCATAGCAAGGGAGCCCTGACATGTCATTCTTGGCACCAGCCCTACCTCTGGCCTTTTCGATATCAGAGATAACAAACTTCTCTATTGTTTAAACAAGACTGAGTCAGATTTTTATTTTACTTGCAGCCAAAGGTCTCAATTTTAAGGGGCTATCATTTCAAAATTCTGGTAACTTCCACCAAACAGTGCTATGATCATAATAGGTTTTGAACGCTTATTAGGACACATTGATCTATATTTTTGTATTGTTTTTATTAACAATAAAATAACGTTAAAGGAGTAGGCTTGGGGGGAAAAAACCCCAGATAAGCAAAAATAGTTCCAGACCCCCGATACCTTAAGAACCTCTGGATCAGATCACACTTGAAACTCATTCTATCAGCAGCCTTTCAATTACAGAGGCCAATAAATTTCCTTTATTATGTAAGCCAGTTTGAAATAGATTTGCAGTTACTTCTGCTGAAAGCACCCCAAATCAGGGGTTCTCAAACTTTAATGAGCACACAAATCAGCTGAGGATCTTGTTAAACTGTAGATTCTGATTCGGCAGGCTGGGGTACATTTTAACAAGCTCCTAGGTGATGCTGATGCTGCTGGTCCACAGACGACACTTTGAATAGCAAAGTTCTGCTACTTAATGCAAGCATCTTTCCACCTGTGTATTGCTACCTTACTTTCACCACGGAGAGGGCCAGGTGGAGGAAAGGCTTGGATGGATTAGCTGTGCAGACACCCCAGAGCTGAAGGTCTAGGTCTAAAATGGGGGTGAGTGCTGACTCCATAAGTTAGAACTTGTGGCCACGGGCCACAAGTTTTAGTAGCAGACCACAGAAAATCAGGAACTGAGGGGAGGAGATTTTAGGAAAAGGAAAAGGATCTTGGCCTAGGACTTGTAGAAAGCAGAGCCTGGGCAAAGATTAAAGTGCTGACACTTGACAGCAGAGATGCAAACACAAGGCAAGAGAAGAGGAGAAGGAAGGCAGTGAGTCAGAATCTGCACTTTAACAAGATCCCCGGATGATTCATGTGCATAGTAAGGTTTGAGAAGCACCGTTCTAGCTTCCATATGCTT